CTCCACCGAAGGCCCCAGTGCCCGCGCCCGCATGCGTCACACACACCCATTTCGGCACACCCCTCACACGTTTCGTGGCTCCATAGGGAGCTCCACCGAAGGCCCCAGTGCCCGCGCCCGCGTGCGTCACCCACACCCATTTCGGCACACCCCTCACACGTTCCGTGGCTCCATAGGGAGCTCCACCGAAGGCCCCAGTGCCCGCGCCCGCGTGCCCGCCCGCCTCTCCAGCGCACCCGACCACCCACCGTCGCTGAGACTGAAACGCATCGCTGTCAGCCACGCCATTTCGGCCGCACCCCTCACACGCTTCGTGGCCCCATAGGGAGCTCCGCCGAAGGCCCCAGTGCCCGCGCCCGCATGCGCCAGCCACACACATTTCGGCACGCCCCTCACGCGTTCCGTGGCCCCATAGGGAGCTCCGCCGAAGGTCCCAGTGGGTGTGCCCGCATGCGTCCCGCACACCCATTTCGGCACACCCCTCACACGTTTCGTGGCCCCATAGGGAGCTCCACCGAAGGTCCCAGTGGGTGTGCCCGCATGCGTCCCGCACACCCATTTCGGCACACCCCTCACACGTTTCGTGGCCCCATAGGGAGCTCCACCGAAGGCCCCAGTGGGTGTGCCCGCATGCGTCCCGCACACCCATTTCGGCACACCCCTCGTACGTTTCGTGGCCCCGTAGGGGGCTCCACCGAGAAGATATTCACAATTGCAGTATTCACAATTGCATATGGTTGGGTCCTTCGCCAGGATAATTTTTTGAAGCGAAAAAGATCGGGCACCTAGGACATTGGTTCGTGATCACCAGGCTGGGGATCACAGGAAAACACGTGTGCACCACTCTCTTTGTGCCCTGCCAGCGCCGCTGCCGGAGTAAATTGCGCTCCGCACACCTGCCCTTCTGTCCTAATTTTCCTGTCACCGCAAAACTGAACCACCACTTCTCTGCCCACCGTAATTTCTGGTAGCGTTGTTTCCCAAGCCTCTCCAGCGTGGCTTAGGGTACTGGGGTCCGTCCCAATCCAAACTTCCCAATTTCTCGTGCTTCTTGAACATTCGGATGTGAGAGAACGCGTTTCACGGGCGCTTGCCTTGGGAACATTCGGCGGCGCGTGGCGAACCGGGGGCCCCAACACTCGGCGCCGTCGATCAAAACCAGGGGGACCCCCCTCCCCCCCAAACCTCCCCCCTCACGAACCCCCCCCTTCCAAGGGGGGGGGTTTCAAACCCCCCCCCCTCGTCGCTGGCGCCGGCGGCCGCCAGCAGCGCCGACGGCGGGGACGCAGTGACGATGACCAGAGGCAGCTCTAAGGGGGGGGCGGGAGGGGGAAGGGGGGGTTCAAACGCGACCGGTTGTTACTGTGGCCCGTTGGGTGTTCGTGTGGCCCGTTGGGTGTTAGTGTGGCCCGTCGCGCGGCGGGATAGGAGCTAATGTGGCCCACGCAGGCCGCTCAATGAAAAGTAGTATGTAAAGGTATCTCATGTTAGATCTGGAGAGATTCGCAACCCTTAAGGGAATGCGCTCCCGCGCAGGCAAAAGTGGCTACAGTAACTCCCATCTGGAACCAACGTGGTAGTAGCACTGTGTTCGTGGTGTGGTGGTCGCTGTGCTGTGTTAGTGGTGTGGTGTTGGTAATGTTGTGTTATTGGAGTGGTGTTGGTAGTGGCGGGTTGTGCTGTATGCTATGTTAGTGGCGTGGTGTTGGTAGTGGTGTGCTGTGTTAGTGGTGTGGTGTTGGTAGTGTTGTGTTAGTGGTGTGGTGTTGGTAGTGTTGTTGAGCTGTTAGTAGGTAGTCGTGTTATGGTAGTGGCAGTGGTGCTGTGGTAGTGGTGTTGTGGTAGCGGTGTTATGGTGCGCTAGGGACGACAGGAAGTAATAATAGCAGTAGTAGTAGTAGTAGTAGTAGTAGTAGTAGTAGTAGTAGTAGTAGTAGTAGTAGTAGTAGTAGTAGTAGTAGTAGTAGTAGTAGTAGTAGTAGTAGTAGTAGTAGTAGTAGTAGTAGTAGTAGTAGTAGTAGTAGTAGTAGTAGTAGTAGTAGTGGTAGTGGTAGCGGTAGTGGTAGTAGTGGCAGTAGTATTTGTAGTAGTAGTAGTAGTGGTAGTAGTAGCCGAAGTAGTAGTATGGTAGTAGTAGTAGTAGTAGTAGTAGTAGTAGTAGTAGTAGTAGTAGTAGTAGTAGGTATTTTAAAAATTTCTTATCCTAAAAGTAGTAGTTAGTATAAGTAGTCGTAGGTAAGTATATAGCCATCGTTCGGATAAGAGTAATAGGAGTATAGGTAGTAGTAAAGTAGGTAGTAGTATTTAGTTAGTGGTGGTGGTATAGTAGTAGAGGTAATAGTAAGTAATAGTAGTAGCAATCATTCGTGGTAGTCTCAGTAGATAGTCGTCGTCGTCGTAGTTAGTAAGTAAAAGTAGTAGTAGTAGTAGTAGTAGTTGTAGTAGTAGTAGTTGTAGTAAGTAGTAGATACTGGAGTCGTCTTGACAATCGTAATTTCCAGTAGTATGGTAATCGTAGTAGGACTAGTAGAAAGAATAGGTATAGTATTAAGTAGTAGTAGTAGTAGTTGTAGTAGTAGTCGTACTAGTAGTAGTAGTAGTAGTCGTAGTAGCAATAGTCTTTGTAGTAATATCTGTAGTAGTCTTTGTAGCAGTCTTTGTAGTAGTCGTAGTAGTAGTAGTAGTAGTAGTAGGAGTAGTAGTAGTAGTAGTAGTAGTAGTAAGTAGTAGTAGTAGTAGTAGTAGTAGTAGTAGTAGTCGTAGTAGTAGTCGTCGTAGTAGTAGTAGTAGTAGCAGTAGTAAGTAGTAAGTAGTAGTAGTAGTAAGTAGTAGTAAGTAGTAGTAGTAGTAGTCGTAGTAGTAGTAGTAGTAGTAGTATTGGTATGGTAGTGGTAGTGGTGGTAGGAGTAGTAGTAGTAGTAGTAGTAGAGTAGTAAGTAGTAAGTAGTGGTAGTAGGAGAAGCAAGTAGTAGAGTAGTATAAATACTAGTACGGTTAATACTAGCAGTAGTAGTAGTAGTAGTAAAGTAGTATTAGTAGTAAGTGTAATAGTAGTAGTAGTAGTAGTAGTAGTAGTAGTAGTAGTAGTGGTGGTGGTGGTGGTGGTGGTGGTGGTGGTGGTGGTGGTGGTGGTGGTGGTGGTGGTGGTGGTGGTGGTCGTAGTAGTAGTAGTAGTAGTAGTACTAGTAGTAGTAGTAGTAGTAGTAGTAGTAGTAGTAGTAGTAGTAGTAGTAGTAGTAGTAGTAGTAGTAGTAGTAGATCAGAGAGCCCAAGAGGCTCTTCGGAGAGCCCAAGAACCGTTTCGGATGCCCCAAGAGGCTCTTCGGAGGCCCCACGAGGCTCTTCGGAGAGCCCAAGAGGCTCTTAGGCGGCTGCAAGGTCTTCGGCGGCTCCAAGAGGCTCTTCGAAGAGCACCAGAGGCTCTTCCGAGAGGCTCTTCGGTGAAGGGGGGAGGCGGAGCCTTTTTGGACCCCGCCCCCTTCACCGTACTCGATAATTAGTACACTCTGGAGGACCCCTGGCCATACTAACACCCCCCGGGCCGCAGTAACAACCAACGGGCCGCAGTAACACTAACACCTTATCTCGGTTTCACCCCCCCCCTGGCAACGGCGGGGACGCAGCAACGATAACCACCACTACCACCACCGCCACCACTACCACCACCACCACCGCCACAACCCACCACCACCACCAATAACCCACCACACAACCATCACCACCACCACCACCACCACCACCACCACCACAACCACTACCGCCACAACTCACCACAACCACCACCACACCCGCGAAAACCCACCACCACTACCACCAACACCACCACAATCTACCACGGCACCACCACCACCGCCACAACCACCACCACTACCAGCAGCACAACCCACCACCACAACACCACAAACCACCACCAAACCACCACCACCACCGCCACCACCACCACCAGCACCGCCTCCACAAACCACCGCCACCACCACAACCCACCACCACCACCACCACAAACCACCACCACACCACCACCAAACCACCACCACCACCACCACAACCCACCACCACCACCACCACCACCACCACCACCACAAACCACCACACAACCACCACCACCACCACCCACCACCACCAACAACAACAACACCACCACAACAAACCACCACCACAACCACTACCACAAACACCACCACCGCCACCACCACCACCACAACCCACCACCACCACCACCGTCGTCCTCGTCGACGCTCCCCACCGCCGCCGCCCGCCGCCGCAGGCGCCGGCGCTGGCGCCGGCCCAGAAAAAGAAATCGTCGTCAACGCCGAGGCGCTGGCCCGAAGAGAGGGAGAGAGGAGAAGTAGGGGAGGGATGGGGGGGTCCGGGTCCCCCCCCCCAAATCGACCACAGAACGCGCTCTTTCTGAGATGTCTGACTGCCTCTTCGGGTATCAGCCCCATACGTCCTCGCTGACCTCCACCAGCGTCTGACAACCTGCTTGGCCCAAGGTGTAGAAGAATGACGAGGAGGAGGAGGAGGAGGAGGAGGACCGCGGCCCGCTCATTCTCACCATCGTCGTCGAGCACAATCGCACGCCCCTTCTTCTATATACAGAAACTCCCGATCAACCGCAAGCCGGCCGGTTAAGAGAAGTAATCGGGGTGGCCATGGATATCACCGCCGCCCTCATCAGATAATGAATCCTCCAGGGTCTGACGCCTCCTGGGCGGCACATTCCTGAACCAATGCTCCCACCGTACGTTCTCCTGGCTGAGGCCGGGATGGTACAGTGCACCACCCGAAGGCTTCAGGGTGGACCTGGCCATGAAGGAACACAAAAAACTGCACTGCACTGCAACTCCCCAGGCCTCTCCCGGGGCGCGTTCCGGCCAGGATTCCGACGCGAACCAAGCCGTGGTGATGCTGGGTGCATCGACATCGGCATCGTTCTGCTTCCCCTGAGGCCAGGCGTTACGCTGGTACGCGGGCGCCCTCTGCGCAGCCGAGACGCAGGCGGGACCCCGGGCTGCCAGTGGAGCTCGACGTCCCGCGGCGGCACCGGGGCCTCGAGCACCACGCAGACGCGGGCGGCGCCGGTCCCCGCCTGGGTACCGCCCTCCTCTTGCTCGTGCTGCTGCCGCAACCGCTGCTGTTCCTCCCTCGTCGTCGTCGTCGTCCTCCTCCTCCTCCTCCTTCTCTTGCTCCTCTTTCTCCTCCTCCATGCCCGTTCGGCTCCTTTTGGGTCTCGTGGAGCAAATTCGTCGCCACGGCTGGACCCGCCTGGAATAAGTAGGCCGCCGCCGATGCTGCTGCTGCTGCTGCTGCACCTCCTCCTCTTCCTCCTCCTTCTCTTCCTCCTCCTCTTCCTCCTCCTCCTCCTCCTCCTCCTCTTCCTCCTCCTCTTCCTCCTGGCACGTGCCCAAAGGCGGGCACGAGTTCATCCAATATCGCCGTCAGCCGCGCGATGAAGCGCATCTTGAATTTGAGGCAGCTGCTCGCAGGCTGCCCTTTGGCTGACAGGCGATGGGAGACTAGCGACATGGTGGTACACGATGGCAGACGCGGCGAGGAGAGAAGAGCGGCGGGGGTGGACGGGTCAAGGCGGCCAATACGGGCGAGAAGACAAGCAGGCAACGCAGCAGGAGCAAGAGCGGAGGAGACAAGATCTGCAAATCTCGGGCAGCTTAAACAATGGGAGATCGACTCCTTTCCCCTCGTGCACCCCAGGACACACTTGCAAGATTGCGGGGAAAAAACGCTGGCCGACGCCCACGTTTCAGCCAACGTTTTGGGGGCCGCGGAACTTTGGGACGGGGGCAGTATGACGAGGTGCGAACGCACCGTCTCCCACTGAATATTCTCAATCTCGGCACGTTTGCGGGGAAACCATTTCTTAAGACGAGCGGCGAAAGTCTGGGCCAGAGAGTCGGGAAAAAAACAGGTTAAAAGAACGGCAGCTATCGATTTCTGCAGAGCTTCCGGATCCACAAGAACCTCGCGACCAGCTTGGACGTCCAATCGACCAGCGGGGGCCCAGGAACGGAAAACCCTGATCCGCATCATGCAGCATCTCCATAAAAACCTTCAAGCGCCAGCCCAGGGACCATGAGCGGGAGGGGCAAGTTAAGGGCAGAGGCGTCAGACGAACTCGCATAATACCCACGCCAATGCGGGAACGTTTTCAGCGCGGTTCGAATTAGGCTGGCTAGATTCTGCGCGACTGCACTCTGGAACTGGGCCCTCCCCATCGGAGGATATTGTAATTTCCTGCTCTTGAGAGGCAGCATAATGGCGATGCGAACGAAGACTGACGCGAGACAAGCGCGCTCGGCCCTGATCGTGGAGGCGGGGGGGAGGAGGAACTCGGAGACGTAAGAAAGGACCGTAAGCACTCTCGAATTGTAAAGCGAGGCCGCCAACGCTGGGGGGGGAGTGGCGGGCTTCGGCCAGCAGGCAGGCATGTTCAATCCATTTACTCGTGGGCGCTCGCCACGAATCTAACTGCACAGCTGGGCCCATGTGCATACCGAGGTATTTCAGCAAGGGGGTGGCGCAGAAATCCTTCCACCGCGGCATATTGCCAGCCAGCCAGCTCGCCATCAATTCGGTTCGCAAGGTCCTGCGACCAAGCCGCCGAGAGAGGGACTATGAGGCACATGTTGTGCTTGAGTCGGAAAGCAGCAATTCTCTCGTCCGCTCTGACAATGATCGCAACATTCCCAACCATCCTGTGGTGTTGGGTCCTCGTTTTGAAGAGACGGTGCCCCGCGTTCCTCTCCTCTCCTCTCCTCTCCTCTCCTCTCCTCTCTCCTCTCCTCCTCTCCTCTCCTCTCCTCTCCTCTCTCCTCCCCCCTCTCCTCACCCACCCAGTACACCGTTTCGTGGCTCCATAGGGAGCTCCACCGAAGGCCCCAGTGCCCGCGCCCGCATGCGTCACCCACACCCATTTCGGCACACCCCTCACACGTTTCGTGGCTCCATAGGGAGCTCCACCGAAGGCCCCAGTGCCCGCGCCCGCATGCGTCACCCACACCCATTTCGGCACACCCCTCACACGTTTCGTGGCTCCATAGGGAGCTCCACCGAAGGCCCCAGTGCCCGCGCCCGCATGCGTCACCCACACCCATTTCGGCACACCCCTCACACGTTTCGTGGCTCCATAGGGAGCTCCACCGAAGGCCCCAGTGCCCGCGGCCGCATGCGTCACCCACACCCATTTCGGCACACCCCTCACACGTTTCGTGGCTCCATAGGGAGCTCCACCGAAGGCCCCAGTGCCCGCGCCGCATGCGTCACCCACACCCATTTCGGCACACCCCTCACACGTTTCGTGGCTCCATAGGGAGCTCCACCGAAGGCCCCAGTGCCCGCGCCCGCATGCGTCACCCACACCCATTTCGGCACACCCCTCACACGTTTCGTGGCTCCATAGGGAGCTCCACCGAAGGCCCCAGTGCCCGCGCCCGCATGCGTCACCCACACCCATTTCGGCACACCCCTCACACGCTTCGTGGCTCCATAGGGAGCTCCACCGAAGGCCCCAGTGCCCGCGCCCGCATGCGTCACCCACCACCCACGTCGGCACACCCCTCACACGTTTCGTGGCCCCATAGGGAACTCCACCGAAGGCCCCAGTGGCCCGCGCCCGCATGCGTCACCCACACCCAATTCGGCACACCCCTCACACGTTTCGCGGCTCCATAGGGAGCTCCACCGAAGGCCCCAGTGCCCGCGCCTGCATGCGTCACCCACACCCATTTCGGCACACCCCTCACACGTTTCGTGGCTCCATAGGGAGCTCCACCGAAGGCCCCAGTGCCCGCGACCGCATGCGTCCCCCACACCCATTTCGGCACACCCCTCACACGTTTCGTGGCTCCATAGGGAGCTCCACCGAAGGCCCCAGTGCCCGCGGCCGCATGCGTCCCCCACACCCATTTCGGCACACCCCTCACACGTTTCGTGGCTCCATAGGAAGCTCCACCGAAGGCCCCAGTGCCCGCGGCCGCATGCGTCCCCCACACCCATTTCGGCACACCCCTCACACGTTTCGTGGCTCCATAGGGAGCTCCACCGAAGGCCCCAGTGCCCGCGGCCGCATGCGTCCCCCTCACCCATTTCGGCACACCCCTCACACGTTTCGTGGCTCCATAGGGAGCTCCACCGAAGGCCCCAGTGCCCGCGGCCGCATGCGTCCCCCACACCCATTTCGGCACACCCCTCACACTTTTCGTGGCTCCATAGGGAGCTCCACCGAAGGCCCCAGTGCCCGCGGCCGCATGCGTCCCCCACACCCATTTCGGCACACCCCTCACACGTTTCGTGGCTCCATAGGAGCTCCACCGAAGGCCCCAGTGCCCGCGGCCGCATGCGTCCCCCACACCCATTTCGGCACACCCCTCACACGTTTCGTGGCTCCATAGGGAGCTCCACCGAAGGCCCCAGTGCCCGCGCCCGCATGCGTCACCTACACCCATTTCGGCACACCCCTTACGCGTTTCGTGGCTCCATAGGGAGCTCCACCGAAGGCCCCAGTGCCCGCGCCCGCATGCGTCACCCACACCCATTTCGGCACACCCCTCACACGCTTCGTGGCTCCATAGGGAGCTCCACCGAAGGCCCCAGTGCCCGCGCCCGCATGCGTCAACCACACCCATTTCGGCACACCCCTCACACGCTTCGTGGCTCCCATTCATAGGGAGGCTCCACCCAAGCCCCAGTGCCACCGCCCGCATGCGTGCCAACCACACCCATTTCGGCACACCCCCACAAGACGCTTCGTGGCCCCATAACGGAGCTCCAACGGAAGCCCAGTGCCGCGCCCGCATGCGTCAGCCACACCCATTTCGGCACACCCCTCAAAACGCCTTCGTGGCCCCATGGTGTTTTGAATTGCCTGTTAAATGGGAAGCTCCACCGAAGCCCCAGTGCCCGCGCCAAGCATGCGTCAGCCACAACCCTTTCGGCAACTCCTCACACGTTTCGTGCCCCTTAGGGAAGCGCCCACCGAAGGCCCCAGTGCTGCCGCCCGCATGCGTCCCGCACACCCATCCCCTTCACACGTTTCTTGGCCCTATAGGGAGCCCCACCGAAATTGGTAGTGTCAACTGCGGTATTCACACCTGCACATGGTTGGGTCCTTCGTCAGGCTAATTTTTTCAAAGCGGCGAGAAGGAATAGTACTGCGCGCATTCGTTTGCACGACCCCCCTCGGGCTGTTCAGATGCCCCAGACCCAGGGCGAGCTGTCTACAGAAAAGCATAAGTGTAGACTTATGTTCCTTAATGCGTCAAATTTAACGAATTGAGAGGGACAATGTGGGAGTAAAGAACGCTAGCTCTGAATATGCGAGACCAATCTAACTGGCAAAGGGGGCACAGACGCAAACGTCGGCTTTCGCCGTGCTCGTCGCCTCGGCACCTCCCCGCCAGAGCATCCGTGCCTAACCGCTGTGGCCGCGACGATCCATGCGCGGCACATTTGGCGACTCGGTTACACAGTGGTGCTTGTTTCCGAATCCCACGTCGGGCCCCCTGTCGATCCTGATGATTGTCGGTCCGCGCCGCAGGGCCACACTAAGCGATGGCCACTGTTTTCAAGGCGTGGAATGCGATTGCGCAACACAAAACATAATCCTCCTCCGCCTCCTCATACACTACCCCCCAAACAATCCTCGCCCGTTTCTTGCCCATCATCCTCGCTCATAACCCTGGTCAACCTACTCCTAGTCATTATATGCCTCCACCGCGTCGTCCTCCTCTTCTCCTCCCCCCCCCCTGCGCCCTTCCCCTCCCTGCCTTGTTCCCCCCTTCTCTGTCTGCGTCCATCACAATCCATGGCGCCCCTCCGCGTTGAAACCTTGTCGGGGCCTTGTCGGGGGCATGGCGCTGCAATTTCGGAGCTTGGGGCACGCACCGCTGCCAATAAGTTATCGCCCAAGTTTCAGGGGCCACTCGGAACCCAAGAGGAGGGTGGGAGGGGGGCAAACTCAGGAGGTGCCATACCAAACCGCGAGTTTGATATGGTTCATCTTGGGTTCTCTTGGGGGGCCCGTGCCGCTCTCCTCGGGACCCCGTCTGATACCGCCACAAAAACGAAGCGACT